CTATTCTATATGAGCTTTAACTAAAACTAATTTAGAGACTTATTTCAAATACGGTAAAAATGTAAGGATTCGTTTTTAAAAGTTAAACTCTAAATTTAATAATTAAATATTATAGTTTTAAACCATAGTTCAATTGTGAAACTTGAGTGATAATAAGTTTAGATATTCCGATATGAACACTAAGTTAATTTACCTGTGAGTTCTAAATCTTATATTTCAATTTAGACTAAAAATATACTACTACAATACATGAATGGCTAGTGGTTTAGAGCTTTAGCTTTTGCATTGCAAACTTATTTTGAAAAAAAAAAATTTGGGACTAAATTCAAAAAATAAAATATTTTAGTTAAATAAATTGAATTCATAGTTTGACTAATTTATTGTTCATGTTAGAATACCTAAACTCATTACCACTCAGATTTTATATTTAGGTCAGTGGTTTAGGACTTTAATTTATATTTTAAGGACTTATTTTAAAAAAATTAAATTAGACACTAAAACTCAAACAATGAAATATCTTAGAGATTGTTTTTAACTAAAATTATTAATAATATAATAACTAAAATTCTAAATCACTAACCTAGTTCAGAAACTGATGTGATTTTAGATATTTTAAAGTACTTTTTATTGCAAGTGTTTTTCACTTGTGATTTCATATTAGTAAAAGACACTTTCTGGAAGAAAAAAAAACATTTTTACTATGTATGCAATAAGCGCTTTTTTTTTTTTTTTTTTTTGTAGAAAACGCCTCGCCAAATTGAGTGTTATTTTGACAATTAATCTAGAATGATGTGTTAAAATTTTTAAAATTATACTTAAAATTTAATTTTTGTTTTATTTTAGTACCCTATTATTAAAAACATAACCTGTTTATTACCTAAATTATCAATTTTAGTCTCTTTTAGTATCTAAATTTTTAATTTTTTTAAAAAAATTAATGTTAAATTTTGAACGGAGTACTAAAATGAAACAAAAATTAAATTTTAAGTATGATTTAAAAAAATTAGATACTAAAACGGACAAAAACTGATGATTTAAGTACTAAATGTATAATTTACCCTGAAATTAATGATTTCTATGTCTATATAATTGATTTTCTGGTCTTGTTCACAATACAATTTTTTTTGTTGAAAGAGGATATTTTATATTGCGAATGATTACAAAGTAAACCACCTCGAGGACCTCATTAAAAAAACCTTCCTAATTCTAAGAGGAGGAAAAAAAGTGTACCTTGTGGTGAGAAACAAACACACAATGCTGTAATATCACACAAACCTAACTCCAGCCCTACAACAAACCCACAATCGATTCAAAAAAACCAATGCACAAACTAAATAAAATGAACTTGGAACAGAAACGAGTTCAAACACTGATAGCATGACCAAAGAAGCGAACCAACACGTCAAAACCAACATCACCCGCGACCAGAGTTAGAACGAAGAGTTACGCTGAATCATGGAGAACCACACTTGCTGAAAACTAGCTGCCTACAGACTCGTCCAAGGACTGAAGCATATTACCAGAGATGAAGGACTTCACGAGACTATCCAGCTGACCCTAATTAAAGAGAATCCACAAGGATAAGCTGTACAACCGAAACTTTCAGGTAGATCACCCGCACTAAAGAGAAAAAACAGCAGTTTCGAACAAAACCCTTTTAGCAACAGAAAAGGTTTCGGGTCAACGAACAGATAAAAGAACACACAGGTGCGACAATGGACAAAACAAAACCCTTAAACCCTAACAGAACCACAGTTAAATCGAAATCTGCTCAACCATAACAAAGCTCCATCCGATGAGCTGAATTGTCTCTCGCAGAGGTACCTCGGTCAGCTGAACCACTTTTGACAGCTGAAGACAGCTTTCGCCTCCTCTTATGTTTCATCTTACTTTTGAAAAAGCTTCTAGAGCAAACACCTCTGTTAACATTCACGTTCATGCATTTGGCAGCTTTTGATAAAATATTATTATCTTTTGAAATGGAAATAACGTGCTTTGGCTTTTGAGATTGAGCCATTACCAATTCTTTATTTTTTGCCATAAGGCCACCAATGATCGGCAGCACTTGTGCATGCACATTGCCATCAAGGGTAGCACCCAATTCCACTCCAAGACCCACGTGCGCCATCCTAAAATCCTCCATAGCATTAGAATTACCACTCCTCTGACAAAAGTCAACATGCGCAACCTTTTCATTCAACCCATCCGAAGGCGAAAACGACACCTCTGATGGATAAACATCGGAACCAACACACACTTCCACTATATTATCCACATGCGCCAAACTAACTTCCTCAAGAGGCGTGCTCGGGACATCATGAACCTGCACGATACCTTTGATAGCATCACACACTACCACCTCAGACCCACCGTGCGCCCTATTACTAACTTCCAGAGCATTGGAAAATCCGCTCCTCAAACAAACTGATTCGTGCACAGCTGTCTCACTAGAAAAAGACGGGAAATTAGAATTAAAAATAAATTCATTTACCCATAACTCTTCAATTCTAGCAACAGCGCATACATTCTCCACACCTGGAGACCGCTTTTCACCTTCAGCGTGAAAGCCAACAAATAAAGTGGACGACACTTCATGCACCTTCATAATAGTTTCGAGAGTATCACATAATTCCACCATAGACCCAACGTGCTCCCTATTAACATCCACCAACTCAATATGCGTGCCACTCCCTTTACAAACGCAACCATGCGCAGCTGGCCCACTACGCACTGCCGAGGAATCTATTTTCCCAGCCCATACCCCTTCAGAACAAGGAGCTACGCCAACTGTCTCGGCTCCTAAACACGCTCCACCACCCGCAAACATTCCATCGCTGGACACTCGATTTTCTTCATGAACTACCTCCATTTGAGAAGACAATCCAACACATGCCACTAACTCAGAAGAATTAACTGGCGAGACACCAACGAGATCCCCCACTTTGGAAGACGGGGATTCAACTTCCTTTTCCATCAAAGACGAATCTTCCCAAATAGATTCCGGACTAAAACGAGATTCAAACTCAAAAACATAAACAGTAAACATCATTTCCCCTACTTTCAATTTGAAAGATTCTTCCACTCGAGTTTGGCAATTCGTAATAATCTGAAACAACACCCTATCAAAGGATCCGGAATTTAAAGTCCCTTCATCAATGGAGATAAGAGTTCCCCATTTTTCTGCAATATTTCTGAAAGTTGAATGACTCCACACAAAATGTGGGATCCCTTTGCATGATAACCATGCCCGACGATTGCTGCACTGAAAGTTTTCCGACCACACTTCCACTTTGTCAAAGCAGTTATTCAACGCCCCCATCTGATTATTAAGAGTAAAATCCCTACTCTCTTCATCTTCAAAAATGATTAAAATAGCTAAACCACTTAACCTCATAATTTTCGGACCTAAAATACCTTCCTTATGCATAATAGCAGCCAACTCTTTCATTTTTGTAAATTTTCTGCACCAACCTACCAAGATATCTCTAAGAGTTAATAACTTATCCTCGTCAACGACACCTACAATGGGAACCTCTGATAGACTAACATCCTCCTCTCTACTATTGATCTCATCTGATTTTGCTACAGCACACTTCTTTCTCCAGAAGGCATCACGAGGTTGAAATCTCGCCATGAAAACTCTAACCTTATTTTCTTGAATCCTAGATCTATCAGTACAAATGATAGCCTTCTTCGTGTCCTCCAATCTATTGAAGCGAACAAAATTGAATCTGCTTCCTCCCTTGCTTCTTTTGTTAGGGATGAAAGAATCTACCACCTCACCATATTTATCGAATATTAACCAAAGACCTTGATGATGAAGGAACTCTCGAAGATTAAAAATGATCGCCAAAACGCAACTTCTCTCACCCGAACATCTCACCTTACTCACCTTACTCACCTTACTCACCATGTCTGGATGTAGGACTTTCACAATACAAATTTATAGTTGCCAATCATATATTTCAATACAAAAAACATCTAACATATAATATGCATGAAGTCCAGTGATATTATGTGTAATTTAGAGTGGTCTGCAAGGAGTACAAGGTCTAGACAGAGTCAAGGCCAAAGTCATCTAGAAGTACAAGTAACCATTTGACATGTGAAAGTGTCCAATTGGATGATGCCAACAATTGATCAATGACAAAATTGATCGAATTAAAGAAATGAAAATGGGAGAAAAATAAAAACCAAAATAAAAAAGTGACCTACCTTAATTTAATAAAAAAATATTGTTAGAAGACTCGCTCGTTAAAATTAAGTGTACAATACAAATCAATATAAATTAGTTTGGATAAAATCTTGGGATATCGAAAAGGGAATCGAAAAAAATTAAGAAAATATTTGTAAAGGACAAAATCAACGTTTTAAAACTATTGTAAACATAAACTTTCAAAAACCATAGACAATAGACTGAGAGTTGTTAGATTGATATGTACAATATTTTATTGCAAAGAATATTTAGCCGAAATCAGAGACAGAAATAAGATCTTATGTTGAGGAGAACAAACTTGAATTTATAAAATTTTAAGGGATAAATTTGAACTTGTAAAATTTTAGGGGACGAAAATAGTTTTTCAAAAATATACATAGAAATTTTTAAAATATATGATAATTTTAAATTTTTAAAGGTGCGACCGCCCCCACCTAAATCCATCCCTGCCAAAAATAATTCCCATCCATCTCATATTCTCACATATTAAAATGTTCATAAACTTATTCAACATTAATCTCTCTGTAGCATTGAGTTTCTTCCATTTCCAGGCTTCTTATCATCAACTCAAAACTCTTAAACCTATGACATCGACCTCTCGAGCAAAGAAAGACCGTCCACATAAAGCTCGCTGTTTTGTTTCCGTCGGATCGCTTTTCAAGAACAAAGAGCCAAATCTTTGTTTAGCACCAAGTAGACAGCCGTAGACAACACCAGGGGAAGGAAAACCATTAATTTCTTGGAATGAACCGTACGATCCTCACACCCTTCTTCTAGAATGGTCTCTAGCCTTGGACAAGTTGAAGATTTTGTGGGATTAATGACAAGGGATGGTGCCACTTCACACCAGTTTTGCTTGGATCCCACCTCTTTCATCATCTCTAAAACTTGAGGGAAACAAATTTAGAACATTGGGGTTTCAGGAAGGGATGATATTCAGATAATTGTTTTTTATTTATGTTGGGGGGGGGGGGAGATGAACAAGTAGTTCGGAGTTGGACTTTCCACTGCGTAAAATAAAGAAAAACGAAAAAGACAGGAAGCTGGCTGGTCATTTGGACCAAAGTGTGTTTGATTTAAAGGAGATTTGGTTGTCAAAGAAAATCTTCTAAATAATTTCGTTATTGAATTTCTTGTTTTTCTCGAACACTAGTGTGTTTGATTTATAGCAAGGGTAAATATATGTTTCGATGGTTGAACTTCATTTTTAATGTATTATTTGATATTTTTTTTTTGGTTCAACTAGGTATCAAAATGTGACTTTGAAATTCAATTTTTTTTTTACTCGGCAAAGGTCAATTTATTAAATTAAAACAATAGTCGACGTTCAACTTATGAGCTCATTAAAAACCTCCCTAATCTAATTGAATGAAAAGAGTGCTACATAAGAGAACAAAACAAGCATTGCAGACCAAAAACAAAAACCAGAACACATAAATCAAAACATTACAGCATTACAGCCATCAAAGCAATAAAGCTAAAACCAACAAAGCAATTCCAATCGAAAGGGCTTTCTCGACACCAGCATCTCATGCAGAGGCAACAAAAGCATTTCCAAAAGGTCCTTAGCGGGCAACCATTACGAAATTGAAACGACGTTAAGCAAATAATTCTAAAGGACAAAATTGAACATTCAAAATAGATGTTGGATTGATATTTACAAAGTTTTAACATTACGAAGACCAATTACTCAAAATACATGGCCCATCCATCTCATATTCTCACATGTTACAATGCCATAAACTTATTCAACATTACTCTCTCTTTAGTATAGAGCTTCTTCCATTTTCCAGGCTTCTTATCATCAACTCAAAACTCTTAAATTTTTAGAGCATCGATTTCACGAGCAAAGAAACCCATAAAATTGAAAGATCATCAACACGAAACCCACTGTTTTGTTTCCCTCGTATCCCTTCTCAGGCACAAAGAGTGTTTCTTGTTTAGCAATACATGTACAGCCAACACCTGGGGAAGAAGAGCCATTAATTTCTGGGAAAAATCTGCATGATTCTCAAACCCTTCTTCCGGAATGGTCTCTAACCTTGGACAAGTTGAAGGTTTTTTGGGATTAATGAGAAGGGATGGTGCCGCTTCACCCCAGTTTTGTTTGTATCCCACCTCTTTCATCATCTTCAAGACTTGGGGGAAAAAAAAGATAATAAAGATATGATTTTTTTTATGGTTTTGGTGATTCAGGGAGATTGTTATGTTTCAAATAATTGTGAGGATTTATATAGGAGGAGATGAACAAGAGGTTCGGACTTTCCACAGCGTAAAATGAGGAAAGAAAAACGAAAATGACAGGAAGCTGGTTGGCAATTTAGACCAAAGTAAACAGTATTATCTAATCATGGAGGTTAACCCACGTAAGCATCTCTATCAGTATTTCGACCTTTTCTTTTTCCCATTTTCCTGAAGTGACCTCCAAGGCGTGTAAACAAGGTCTCGACAGAGTCAAAGCCATCTAGAAGTATAACCATTTGACATGTGAAAAATATCCACTTGGATCATGCCAGCGATTGATCTATGTTAAAATTGATCGAAGAAAATGAAATTAGAGCAAATCATACAAATAGTCATTAAAATTTGAGTAAATTGTTCTTTTCTTTATTGATATTTCATAAGTAATGATTTGATCACAAATATTATCGATATACAACAAATGAGTTACTCGGTTGTTAACTCTTGTTACTGGAATAACAAAATACTGATGTTACTCGGTCGAGTTTGTAGAAGCACACGCAATGATCCATGCCTTATTGTTTGTTAGTTCGAAAGGGTTCAAAGAAAGTCATTATTGAATGTGATTCACTTGAGGTGGCTAACAAATTGAAAAGTAGATTGACACAATGATTGAATAAAAATACGACAAGGGTATTAAAGAGTGTTTATGTACATACAATGTCCGACATTCAATGCACATTTTCTCGAATTCTAGATCAGTTCATGTGTGAATAATTTGACTTTCTAGTTTGATGTGTAAATTTTTGTTTTTAACGCATCATAAAACACAAAGGTTTACTTCGTCCAATTCTTGATTTTCTCGAATTTATACAATAGAGGAATCTATAATCTAGATATACATCTTAGTAAGTCAATTCGTAGGTAAAATATCATACTATATTTGGTTATAGACTTGTAGTCCATAGACCATTCCATCCATCATCAAATCACCATAACTATATGATCAAATTATAATCAAAGATTATGGACCCAAGAACCCCACAAATTTCAACACGGTTTGAAATTTATTATTTTCAAGTTTCAAAGCGTTTTGAAAGAAACAAAATAGGAATCTCCATGATTTTGAAAATATAGGTCTGAAAACTTCTTTCAACATTTTCTTTGGAGGTCCTTCTCCCGACGGCTCCGGTGTCGCTCTGCCCTTTACAATCCTTCTTTTCCCTTTTCGCTAATATTGTCTTTGTGGGTTGGGGACTGATTTCCTCTCGTTTTTTTGTCGTTCGAGGTTTCATTCCTCATGCACTTTTGGATCCTATTTGAGGGTCATTTTGCATGATGGGTCAGAGTTTTCTTTTGTCGGCTAAGGTTATCGGAGGGTTCAATTTATTTTTGTCGAAACAGAGTTTTTCCCGAGGGGAAAAGAGGGCCTCATTTTGAAAATAATTCTTTGGAACAAACTATTAATGATAAAAACGTGGTTTGAGGAGTCGTCATTAATCTTTGATTAGAGTGTGATTGAGCACCAAAAAATAAATTTGTCATTTTAATAAAATATTATTTTTAAATAAAACGACAAACTTGTGGTCTGCGTTACCAAAATTTGAGTTCGTGAGTTGATTACGTGTGGGGAAAGATTAGCACCCCAAAACTCCATAAATTGATACATAGTCGATTAATTAATTATTTTTGCAATGAAATTTACAAGTTCGAGTCTAATTTAATTTAAGATCCCCTAAAATAACATTCTTTGGAATTTTGGATGAAAGATAATAATATTTAATTATTTTCTATTGAGAAGAATCGATCTCTCATACCTTAAAGCAATCGATTCTTACTCCAATCGAAATAAAGAAATATTAAAATTACATTCTAAATTTCACTATCATATTCAAAATAATAACACCCAAAATAATCTTAAGAGTGAAAATGATAATATCTAATTATTTCAATCGAGAATAAATGAACTTTTGTGCATTAAAACAATCATTTATTACCCCAATTGAAATAAATGGATATTACTATATCATCTTAAAATTACATAGCGATTCGAATGAAAACGATAATATCTAATGGTTTCCAATCGAGAATAAATGACCTCTCATACCTTAAAGCAGTCATTTATCACTCACACCGAACATAAAAGATATTACTATTCTCAATGTCGATTAGAACATTATTGTTTTGAAAATTTATCGGAAAACACATGTAAAAGTAAAACAAATAAAAATATGACAAATAAGGAATTAATCATTTACTTTACCGATATTTAATGAGAATAATGATGTTCAATTATTTAAATATCTTGAGACGAAACATTAGATTTGCTCTAACAGTCTTTTCTCGATGAATTTAATTAAAAGAACATTGTATTTTTCTCAATCCCCGAATTTTAACAATGAAATCGATTTAATTCGTGTCACTAAATTGGATAAACTTTCATTTAAAAATTATCGAGTGTAACTTTCTTATACGTTAAGACAATCACTTTACGACAATATTAAAATGATCGAATATTGCCCTTAGTCAATTTATTTTGATTCGAGTCAATCGATTTAAAATGACATCATGCAAATTAATTAAAATAAAATCTAGACCGATATACATCAAATAATATATTTACCTACATAGCATACCTAAAAAATAATATATATATGTATATGTATAGAACCAACAAAAAAAATGTGTAAAGGCTCAAATATATTAAATATAGATATACATATATTACTTGGTACACGCGTGAAATATGATAAACAAAAATATATGTGAAATATGTATTTACGACATATATACACGTAAAACCATAAATATGGGAATAAAAACATAACTTATATATACGTAATATATACACACTAATATATCATGAAATTTAGGCATAATACAAGAAACGTACTTAAAATGTATAATAAAAATCAAACAAATATTTAATCAAAAATTATTTAAAAGGAATTTAATACATAATGAAAATATTTAATATACAAATAAAAATAAAAAAATAAATCGGGACAAAAACAAAAAAATGAATTAAACAAGGAAACAAAAATAAAGAGAGAATAGGAAACATAGGGCTGAATTTAGGGAAATAAAAAATATATAATACATTGGCAACACTAATTTTATGGATATTACAACAATTAAGAGAGGAAAGAAAATAATAAACAATCATTTAATAAAAAAGAGCTAAATTTAAATCAATCAATCAATTAGTTACCACGTATGGAAATAAATTAGTGACCAATATGTAAAATATTGCAGAAGTATTTGGGACAATAACGAAAATATCACTAAAAACATATAACATGCATAAAAATGGGTAAATCACAAAAAAAGTCCCTACAAGTGACTAACATACAAAAACAAGCTAAAGTTAGGGAGACTAAAAAACAATTAAACTAAAAAATATAAAGCATAAACTTAAATGGTTAAATTATGAAATTGGTCCCTACAGTGATTATTTTGCAAAAACACGCCGAATGTTGGGGGACTTAAGAGTGATTTTACCCAAAAATTTGTCTATATATACCACTTATTTGTTTTTATTTTCATTTGAACACTAAACCAAAAAAGAGGGAGAGAGAGGAGACCTCTTCTCTCTCAACTGGTTTCGGCCGACCCACTGTCGGTCGCCCTACGCGTCGTCCAGCCGACGCTCCAACCGACACACACAGTGGTCGAAATCTTCAAATTTTCCCAAAACACTCGAAATCTTTAGATCTTACTCCCTAAGCCTAAATC